CTGGATGGTGGAGAATGGAAGGATTTATATTCCTTGCAGACAGCTGGTCATTTGCATCCTTTTAGAGAGTCGTTGAGGCTCCCTGGAAGTTTATCTGTGTCCTCAGGGTTACCTGAGTAGTGCAATTGGATATAGAGCCTACTTGCACGTCAGTTGCCTCCTGAAAAAGCACTTTTGGGACAACCATGACCTGGATAACTGAGAATCTCCTTAGACATTCCCTAGTAAATGTCAATAATTAAGTCTTGTTCTGAAAAACAATTGCACACTTGTAAAATCCGTATAATGTTATGGAAGCGAAAATCCTAGTGCTAAAAAAAAAAAGAAGAAATAGGAGTTTCTATCTCCTTTTCAGTGGGGCAGATCCTACCATCTTTAAACAGAGAGATCCAAACTACTGTGTGGCACTTCACATGTCCTCTGAGAAGCTAGACAAGTGCATGCTAAATCTGTTATATTTGTGAAGAATTTTTTTTTAAAAAGAGAAATAAGTAAGGCAATATTTCAAGCAGCCTTAACTGAGCAAGTGCCCTCCAAATATGTTCATGTGTGCTTGCCTTTGAGTCAGTGTTGACTCCCAGCAACTGCCAGGACAAGTCCCTGTAGTTTTCTTGGCAAAATTTGCTGTTGGCTGCTTCCTAGGGCTAAGAGAGAGTGTGGCCTAAGGTTACCCATCTGGCACTGTGCCTAAGACAGGGCTATTACTCATGGTCTCCCAGTTTCTAGTCTGATGCCTTAACTACCAAATCAAACTTGGTTCTCCAAGTCTGCTATACAGTACTAAAATTCTTAGTACTGTATTCAATTCAACCAACATTGCAGCTATAATTAAACCCATCTGGAAGACATATGATAAAAGAAACATTTTTATTATAATAATTGCTTTTGGATTATGCAAATATATGTAGAGATATCATTTTATAAGGTCTCAATTCTTGAAAAAAAACTGTTCAAAGGAGAGCAGCAACGTTAAATGAGAATACATACTGAAAGGAATTGGCTATAGTATGTCTAGGTTAATGAAAAAGAAGGACTAAGGGTGATATGATAGCAGGGTTCCAATATCTAAGAGGCTGCCAAAAAGAAGAGGGGATCAATCTATTCTCCAAAGCAATAGAAGGCAGGACAAAACCAATGGATGGAAACTAATCAAGGAGAGAAGCAACCTAGAACTAAGGAGAAATTTCCTGACAGTTAGAACAATTAATTAGTGGAATCACTTGCCTCCAAAAATTGTGGGTGTTCCAATACTGGAGGTTTTTAAGAAGAGATTGGACAACCATTTGTCTGAAATAGTATAGGGTTTCCTGCCTGCGCAGGGGGTTGAACTAGAAGACCTCCAAGGTCCCTTCCAATTCTGTTATTCTGAAAAGAAGCAAGTTGTTTAAATATATAGGGATGCATTTTAGTCGCTAAGAATTTTATTATCTTTATCATTAACATTTTGCCACAGCTGCATATCTTTTTAAATGATTTGTATGATTCAGTATTAATTTTAGTATTGAGAGCTAGCTTGGTGTGGTGGTGAAGTTCTTAAACTAAAAACTGGGAGGTTATGAGTTCTAGTCCTCTTAGGGTTGAAAGCTGGCTGGGTGACTTTGAGCCATTCACACTCTTTCAATCCTGCCCACCTCACAAGGTGGTTACTGTAGGAAAAAATATGATGTGGGTTATGAGTTGCTGAGTTCTACAGCATAAAGGTAGGATATAAATATAACAGATTCCAAAATGCCTTCAGCAAATTTTATTATTACTATTATTATTATTATTATTATTATTACTACTACTACTACTACTACTACTACTACTACTACTATTACTACTACTACTACTATTATTATTATTATTATTCCATAAGACAGTTGATGATTTGAGAAAACAAAAGATAGACGTTTTCACTAATGGCTTCTGTAGGGCAGGTAAAAAAATCTGCAAGGTGGCAACCATGAAGTTCAACCCAATCCCTACCTCTTTTATGTATCCCCACCATCTTGCAGATTTTGACCTGTACTCTTTATGCCGATGCTTTTGACTATCTTTACAGGGAATATGCCCGGTATTAAGACTCAGAATCAGTCAAGGGCAAGTTTAGTTTCTGTCTATAGAGAGAGTAACCAAACCAGTCTAGAAAGCCCTCCAGCTGCCTAGCACTTGTTTGCTTACTTACAAACACAGTAAAATTTAATTTCTAGCTCAGCTTTAAACCAATCTAAATTGGTGGCTTCTCTCCCAAGGTGCTAAATAGCATAGTTCATTCCTGGAACCTTCTAGGAATGGATTATACAGTTTTGCACATCATTAGCTTTCATTATATCTAGCTATAATGAGTTCTAAATGCTGAGTGAATAAGAAATCCCAGCTTTGTTAGATGAATGTATGCTCTGATATTAAGTTGTGCCACATCATTCATTATTTTATGGAGCTGTAATTTTCTCTCTCTAATTGATGTTAACATTGTTCTGCAGTTTAATCATTCTGCTTATTTTCTCAGGTTCCTCCATTCTAAACATCCCTTTTGTGGCACAGTGATCAGAACCATATACAATATTCCAACAGAGGTTGTATCATGCATTTACATTATACTGGCAGTTTTACTTCCAATTCCTTTCTTCATGATCACCAACATAAAGGAATTTATCTTTCCACCACAAATATATACTGGGTCAACATTTTTGTCAAACATTAAACCACAACTCAGCCCCAGCAGCAGCCCTTCAGACTCCCATCAATTCACTGAAACTGATCATCAGTGAAAATCAGAATTTTTCACTTTCTATTTTTTTACACTGAATAACTTTTTCTATCTCTGTTCTCAATTCCCAAGCTTGGAGAGAGACTTTTGATGCTCCCTCACCATTTCTTTCTGTTTTAAGCTTTCTAAATGATTTGGTATCATCAGCAAGCTTGATAACTTCACTGCTCACTTTTAACCATGTATGAAAAAATAAATAAAGACCTGTTCTTGTGGAATATCTCTGCAATGCCTCAAACAGCAAGCTCTATGGAGAAAGAAAATGGCTCTATGTATCTCCTTTCTTTTGCTCAAAAGTTTCCTTAATAGGGAATTATGTCCAGCCCGTGCTAACAGAGAAAAGCATTCCAATCCTTGATGTAAACCACTCAGAGTTTCCCTTTGATTTGAAGTGTAAATAGTGCCTTTTATAAAAAGAGCTTTTTATAAATGGCCCAGTGCCACTCCAACATCATTATTCATGGCCTTGTAGCTGCACATGGAAGTTATTCAAAGCAGCAGAGCATCCCCTGTAATAATATGGATACGGTTTTGTTCTTTCCACAAATGTGCTCAACTCCTAAGTATTTTTTTAAACTCAGCCCATCTTTACATTACAGTGTTGTTTCAATATAGATCAAAACCAAGATGACATAGAACAGGCACCGGAGGCCCAATTTCAAGGCCAAAAAAACAGATGGAGCAAAGACATATTCAAATGGGTCTTCTATAGTAGAGTATTTTTTTTCTGCTTGTAAAGCTAGATTTATTTTGTTTGATCAATACAGAAAAACTGTCTATCGTATCTTGTTTAAAACAAGCTATATAGTGTGTTATGCCAACGCTGTAAGTATGATACTATGGGATAGGGGGTAGAGCGCTCTGCATAAATCTCCTTTAAGCTGCAGTTCCACACAGCCGAATATGTCTTTGGTTCAAATGACTTAGTGCATTAATCTGACCAAACTCTTTCACAGACTTATTCCTGCAGTTTTAACAAAAGGGGCCTGGAAGGTTGCTAGAATTTGCCACCAATGTTGCAACCCCAGGAGCTCGTGCTTAGACATGCCATGCAGCCTGTAAGATCCAGTTGATCTCTCTGTAAATACACTGATTCTTGTGGTCATTAAACAATCCATGTATTGTATTCAAGTCAGGAATGAATGAAAAAGAATTTGAATACGGATCAAAGTGCTGTCCTTAGCAGAAATTAATGCTAATAGAAATGAAGTTGCTATTTTAGTGTCTTAGTTGGTTTTTAATGGGATGAAGGGTTATATTTATTACCTGATCTTTTTTTTAATATACTGCCCAGAGATACATTGTCCAAGCTGAGCAGCCATATAAATGTTCCAATTAAAGACAACATTTGTTCTTCCCCAGAAAAACATATATGATACACATAGAGATTATATTTGTTTTATAATGCAAACTACAAGTCTTTTCTATTTCCTCTTTAACCTTTAAGATCTTTTGGTGTGTTTAAAACTATGGCAGCCCTTTGCACACTGTAGGGATCTTCTCTAGCCATGTTGGATCAGTCATGAGATCATTCAATATAGTATTCTTATGGTTACTCCAAGAAGTCTGAAGGAGGCAGGGATGGTCTCACAGAAGCAAATTAAGCTCTTTACGGTTAAATATTCTCTTCATCCAGATCTGTCCATGCTGGCTGGGAAATTTAGAAGCTGAATTCTACATAAGCTAAAATTGCCAAGATGAGAAACAGTGATATAAACTGATGCCATGAAGATTACAATTGCATATCTCTGTTTAGTTCAAAATTTTATTTGAAACAATACTCTACTAAGATCTTTGTTTAAAACATTGGAAAAATGCTGCTAGTAAGAGGGGATAATAAAGAGTCAAGATTTGCCTTGGCAGAAAACTAAATAATTTGAAATGTTGGTTTGTTTTCTTCAAAAGCCCTTTCCCCCTATATAAAATACATCTTGACCTGGATGTAGGCAGCCATGGCATGAAGCTGAGTTATAATACAAGACATACAGATTTTCCATCTATTATCTTTCCAAATTTCTCTATCACTATTTATGAGAGACATATTAAACACCCTGGATGCAAAATGCTTTCTTTCCTTTCCTAGATGCAGATAGTTAATTTCTGGGAAATTTATATTTTCTGCAGATCTCTTCTACAAATGAAAGTTCAGTTTAATGAGTGTTTTAGTTTTGATCAACAATTGCAAATAGAATTGGATGTTGTTTTTACTTTTACAGCCACCCAAAAATTCCAAGTTCATGATCCTTACCTAGAAGCTGCAATCTCAGATTTCTGTCTGGCGATGGCTGCTGCTCTCTGAGCACCTTCTATACTCCGGTCCACTTTCTGTCTTATCTTTGCACTTTTTAGAGGTATCACCCGTTTCTTCATGCCTCTGATCAATACATTCATGCGATATTTTCCTTCTTCCTTCTTCCCATCAGGCAACGTGGTACAACCATATCCATGCCGCACGTTATCCAGCCATTCGCCCTCATACTTCAGGCCACTTGATCGCTCACTTATGCCAAACCCTGAACGCTTGTCATTCTTCCACTCTCCCATGTAGGATTCTGTGGTGGTGGCATCAATGTCAGCATCAAAAGGTGGGAAGTCCTCTCCTTCCACTCCTTCTCCTAGGCTGGCAGTGGAGGCAGCATCACTACCTGTAGAGCTCATCCCACTCTCACTCTTAAGGAAACTGAGTCGACTCCTTTGGCTGGACAAAGAGGTCTTGGAGTCAGATTTCTTGAGTTTCCCGAACAAGGAGCTCCGCCTGAAGAGTCCCCCCTTCTTTAATTTGCCAGCATCAGCATCTGCATACAAGCTGAGAGCAAAGCCACCCCGAGTTATGGTAGGTGATATGGGAACGTGTTCCTGGTTTGCTGATGGCAAATCATGTTGTAGCAGTGTGCCATTGCTGTGCTCACTCCGTAGGGACGTAAGGGAGGTTCTTAAAGGGTTGCGGACCACAGCTGCAATGCCGTATGGGACACTTTGACGGACTCCATAACCATGGCGCATGCCATTGGTGAACTGGCCTTGATAGGTACCTGGAATCAAAAGTAAGAACTAATCAAATACATCAAATTTCTCTGGAATGCATATGAAAGCATATATACTCAGGCAGCCACAGCCTCTTCTCCGTCTTCTCATATAAATGGTTCCTTATTGCAGGATAACAAGAAGAGAGCTGTACCTTCTTCCCAGTCAGCAAATACAATTTTCCCATCCCCTCTGAGATTAAAGCCAGCTTCGGTACGCTGCTTCTGCTGAGGGTGATATTCATTGAAGCCATACATAAAAGCACATCACTCATCAGGGCAAGGTTTACAAATCTAGTAAACAGGTGGTGATTGTTCTAATCCTTTGCTGTTTTTTAAAGAATATAAGCATAAAACAGCTTGATTTCCTAGTAAACATTGAAATTATCTAACTAAAATCTTCAGTATTACTGTAAATAATACTCCAACTTAAATGGATTTACTATCCAACATGGCAAATATGGATCATGGGGAGAATAAAGTGTATTGGCAATTTCTCTTCATGCGTATACATTTATTCAAGCTTGTACACTAGGACTAAAATAGAGTTGTATTCAATTTAGATAATTTGTTTCTAAAGCCTAGAAAAAAGGGAAATCATCATGAAATAGGAACTTTTTGAAAGTAAATCATATCAAAATAAAATAATATTTTATGACATACACACAATATTACTTGCTCTTCATTTGCAATATTTCATGGAAGGAAAGGGAAAAGTTTCATTTGATTAGTTTGCCTTCTGAATTAAAAAAATGAATATTACTAATTTTTATTACACGGGAATAAAGTGGGATACAAATAAATAAATTCTAAAGTTCATTTCTGATGTCACAAAGAAAAGAGTGCTAGCTCCTACTTACTGTTTCTCTGCATTGTTTACTTATGGCCAACTAGAGCTTTTAGGAAGTCCACAAGTAGAACATTAGAACAGTGTGCATTGCATGCTACCCAAAATTAATATTCATAAATATAGTGTTGTCTCTGAACATGAATTTTCTATTTACTCATAGCAGATAATTGTCTAATCCACCACCACATCCTGGGGCAGTAAATACCACAATTTAAATAAATATTAGTGAAAAGAAGACATGGAGGAAGCATGGGGAGATGGGGACCATGGAGGACAACCTTCTCAGTTTGTGCAATTCCAAGAGTCACTGTTCAAGCAGGTGGCTCGATGCATTGTCACCCAGATTGCAGAATGGATTTTACACTTCTGGAGTAACTACTCACCAATTTTGGCACACTCTATAGCATTTCCAAGGAACATTTGGAGTAAGATGAAGAGTACTAGGTGTTTCTTTTTTTCATGCCTCTGTCTATGTAAGGCATTTGCATACGTGCCAGCACCTCTGACATTACACCAAATGAACAAAAGTACTATAAGAAGAGCTAAACTAGGAATATAGATCTTTGTTTTGTCCTGTATAGATAAGAAGGCATAAGGGGCAGGCATTTAATAATGGAATGGAATCCTTCACATAAACCCTTCTCCTGACATAATTTGGTTTACCTGGCTAAGTGGTGCTGGATCTAGCCCTTAGAATAAATCCAGTTCTTCATTTAGAACAAATGCACTCTCTAAAGAACTTTAAATTATTCCTACACTATGCTTTACCTAAGCCTGTCTGAATTAAAACACTTTGGACACAGGTTGCAAGATTTTCAGGCGAGAATATGAGTAACAGTGTCCTTCCATTAGACCAGTGTTTCTCAACCTTAATAATTTTTAGATGAATGGACTTCAACTCCCAGGATTCTCAACCCAGACATTCTTCTGGGAGTTAATTTTACTCATTTTAAAGTTGCTAAGGTTGAGAAATACTGCATTAGACAATTCCCTCACTGCTGTTTCCTTCTACTTTTCTCTTCCAGGAAAATGATCACCAACCTTACTATGGGAAGGTTTTATTTAATAATAATAATAATAATAATAATAATAATAATAATAATAATAATAATAATAATAATAACAACAACAACAACAACAACAACAACAACAACAATAATAATAATAGTAGTAGTAATAATAATAGTAATAATAATAAAGTTGGAAGGGAGCTTGGAGGTCATTTAGCCCACCCCTTGCTCAGGCAGGAAACCCTATACCATTTCAGACAAATGGCTGTCCAGTCTCTTCTTAAAAACTTCCAGTGTTGGAGCATTCACAGCTTCTGGAGGCAGGTTGTTCCATTGATTGTTCTAACTGTCAGGAAATTTCTCCTTAGTTCTAGGTTGCTTCTTTCTATGGTTAGTTTCCACCCGTTGCTTCTTGTCCTGCCGTCAGGCGCTTTGGAGAATAGCTTGACTCCTTCTTCTTTGTGGCAACCCCTGAGATATTGGAACACTGCTATCATGTCCCCCCTCGTCCTTCTCTTCATTAAACTAGACATACCCAATTCCAGCAACGTTCCTTATATGTTTTAGCCTCCAGTCCCTAATCATCTTTGTTGCTCTTTTCTGTACTCTTTCTAGAGTCTCAACATCTTTTTTACTTCATGGTGACCAAACTTAAACATATTTATACTTAAAGTGTGTGTGGGGGGGTGCTTGGGTGTGTGTGTGTTTGTATGTATGTCAGCATGGTTTTATATAGAGAGAGATACTCACATACATTACATTGAATTAATAGAAAGAAACAAAATATCAAATACAGTCAAAAACAGTTTTAAAATTACCTTCTTTGCATATCATTCCATTGTAATAGTTTCTGTACCTCCTTTTACTAGCACTGCTGAAATATGGTATTGGTTAAGATTTCAGTTTAGTAGAGAGAAGGTTACTAGTTCAAAACTTGACAGATTTTTTTAACATTATTGTTTTTATTTTACATTATTATTTTACTTTCCTTGTGTAGCTAGTTTTCCCTTGGACTTAAAAAAAAATAAGTTCAGGGGAAACTTAGTTGCTCAAAAACATAGAATTAAAAATATTCTGCTGACTTTAAATCACCAATTTTTTCTTAAGTTAAAGATTGCAATCACTTCATTATTTCAGCAACAGAGGAAAAAGGAGATACAGAATTGGAAGCATTAGCTCAGCTGAAAAAGCCACTCTTCTGCAAAGCAGTCGATAAATAGCTGAATCCCACCAAGTGAAGTGCTCTAGCTCAAATGAACAAAATATGAAAAAGAGTATTTTGGAAGTGGAAGAGAGAAACATGCTCTGAAATTAATTTGAAGGTGAATGGGGGATTAATTAATGGACAACATCATCCATTTTTGCCCTCCAGAAACAGTTGCTTTTCTATTATAGTGACAGGGCAACCTGGCAGTACAGATAAGCTCTAAGACAGACATGTCAAACACAAGGCCCGGGGGCTGGATGTGGCCCGCGAAGTGGTTTCATGTGGCCCACAAAGCCATCCTGGAAACAGTGAGGGAACGGCCCCCGCTGCCTTATCCCTGGCCCAGGCCGGCCGGGAGCCAATGTACAATTTTGTGATGGCCATCTATGCTGAAATGCATTCAGTCTTAGCTCCACAAGGCCGTCCAGAAACAGCGAGGAACCAGCCCCTGCTGCGTGGCCCTGCCCCCTGGGTCCATGCTGGGGAGGTGTCACCCTTTGTGAGGAATGAAGAAATGGACCATGCCTTGGCGCTTGCCCCGGTCCCACCCCCTTCTGCCAGAGACCCTCAGATCTGTCCCACTCTTGCCCAGGCTCCCACAGGCACCCTTGACGCGAACGATGTAGAGCTGGCCATGCTCACCCAGTAGGCCACACCCACTCCATCCACGCCCACCCAGTAGGCCGCACCCACCCTGGCCACACCCACCCGGCCCCCCCAAGGGCAATCGCAATGCTTATGCGCCCCTCAATGAAATTGAGTTTGACACCCCTGTTCTAAGAGTTTAGTCCTATATACAGTAAGCAAAATCATTCAATTTCTATATAAGAAATAGCTGGTTCAGAGAATCTGCAAAACTTGTAGAAGTATGAAACATCTTTTAAATAGCTATTGAGGGGCAACTAAATTTCATCTCAATATTTGCAAACGTTTTACATATCTGACTAAGGCAAGATGGCTAGCATTTCAGTCTGTCTGTCCTATCTATCTATCTATCTATCTATCTATCTATCTATCTATCTATCTATCTATCTATCTATCTATCTATCTATCTATCTATCTATCTATCTATCTATCTATCTATCTATCTCTAACATTGTTCTGGATGACAGTACTCCATGCTTTATCATTCTTTTGTTATATGAATTGTCAGTTGAAAACTATTTAAATGTTAAAAAAAACCCTTCTTTTCCATAGCGAATTTGAACTTTTCACAGAAAAAGGTTGGTCCCTTTCCCCCCAATTAGCACCAAACATTAATTTTCCTCACTTTCGAGATTCTATCTTGCTTCATTGTCCACCTTTTGTTGACATGGTTACCTCAGCAACAAACAACACTACTCCTTCACCCCCGAAACTTTTCTTCTATCCCTCACACACTGTCTCAAATTCCATTCCAAAATTAGTAAACTACTCTCCCCTACTCTTCATTCAACTTGGGTATCCTGGAACGAAATATGCTAAAGAAATATAAATATTTATTCCCAGTAAAAAGACAGTAGCTCCCCCAAGGATTTGCATTCTCATAGGCAAAGGGCCAAGAACAAATGAAGAATTTTTATGGACTCTGATCCCCATAGCTCACCAATGAGGTCTATCATATCAACAAAGCACAATAATCCTTAAAGATCTACAAAAAAAACCCACTAAAAAAACAAGGAAGAGTCCAGAAAAAAATACACAAAATACAATAGATAAGACTCTGGAATGAATTACAATAGGGTGTAAACAAGTGAGCACCTTATAGACAAGATTATTGATTTGATCAATTTCTTCCTTATTAATTTTCACTGCCTTCTATTATGCTGTAATATTAAGACCCAGAAGACACTTCGTATAAAAATATCCTTACAAGATTTTCCCTTTCTCTCAAGTATACTGTATGTAAATTTAACATTTAAGCTAAATTGCTAATGAATAATTCTTGTAAAAAGGTTAATGTACAAAAAAAAATCATGAGAACAGGGCAAGGAAGTTAGGTACAAATAATTAAGGCATTTGGTCAATTAAAAAATGAAAATCCTGTATTGAAATGTCAGGATTCTTTTAAAAAGGAAATCGAATTAGGAAGCAATTCTGCAGAATAGTTACAATATGTAGAATATTATAAAGGTGAATTTAATATTACTATAGAGTGTAAGGAAGGAAGAAAGCTTCTGAAGCACAGAAAAGGATAATTCTTTTCTTATCTTCTCCCATCAAATATGATTTAAATAGTAGCTTCAAAGATTGTATTCCAGACTGTATTTCTGAATTTTAATTTATACATTATATATTAATACAGTTTGTTTAAAGTATCTATTTTCTCTCGCTCGCTTTTTCTCTCTCTCTCTTTCTGTATACAAGTATATATGTTTGTATGTGTGTTTGTATGCAGACACATGAGCATGCGCAGGCACAAAGAGGTATACATAGTTTTGCAAACTATTCAAGAGTGGAGAAGTGTTTAATTCAGCTTTCCTCAGTGCATTCCAGATATAATGGTACTTCAGAAATTGTTGTGTCAATAGACAACAATCTGGATTAAACCACATTTTGGAGGATTACAAGACTTATTAGATGCCATTAGGTTTTGTACTGGGTGGAAAAACTCTTCAATTCATGACCTGTTATTGTAATATCCTCTTTTCCAGAGATGGATGTAAGCTAACTTTAAAAGGCAGCAGATATCTTTGGAGAGATTGAGAGATGAGGTGATCTTGATAGATCACAACTTGAATATTAGCCATCAGAATGATGCAACTTTTTTTTTTTTAAAAAAAAGCAAATTCAGTCATAGACTTCATCAAAAGAAACACAGTGTTCAGACCAAGTGAAATGTGGTTCTTCTCTGCTATGTATTGGTAAGATCAACATAGAATCCAGTTCTGGCTACATGTTTAATTGAAGGGTTTTAACCAACAGAAACAGATCAGTGACAGCAACTAAGAGAATAAAGGGCCTGGAAGGGGGGGAAAAATACAAGAAACATGGAGAGATTTGGGATATGTTTAAGAGAAAACTGTGGGAAGACTTGGTAACTCTCCATGTATCCAAATTGCTATCATAGCACAGAATTGTTCAAAGGTGTTTCAGAAAACAAATCAAGAAATAGTGGGCTTAAGTTACAAACAAACAGATTTTGGACAGACATCAGGAAAAAAAATCCTAATGATAAAGAGCTATTTACAATGCAACAGATTGACTTAGAAAGTGACACTTTTCTTTGCTGGGTGTGTTTAAAGAGGCTGGATGGACATCAATCAGAGCAAAAATAAGAGATTTCTCTGCACTAAGCAGGAAGTTGGACTGGATGTTCTCCAAAGTCCCTTTCAATCTTTAATTCTATGATTATATATGCAGGCCCCCATAGAGGGGAACAAAAATGTATATGGCTGCCCAACTAATGCTCAGTGATTCCAAGTGGTTTACAAAGATAAAAAAAACTCAATATAAAAATAACTAAGAAGCAATAAGCTCCACTCCCCTGCACATAACTATCAGATAAGTCATTTGATAGCATCCCACTCAGGTGTCCCCAGGCCCATTGGCAAAACCAGGTCTTCAGGGCCTTGCGAAAGAGTGTCAAAGTGGGACACTCTTATGCATGTAGTATCTGAATTTGAATGGAGATTCTATAGTCCACTTTATACTATTGGACTGTAGCTCTCATCACTCCTAATCCTGTTTTAGCATCTGAGATTGGGGGATGCTAAACTATTTATGATAGACACTTCATTCTAAAGCTTTTTTCATCTATCATCTTACTAACAGAACTAACAAAGAGCTCCTATCTTTCTGCTGAATCCATACCATATTTTAACACTACTTGAGGCAACAGTTTTTGGCTGGGTTTACAAACTGCACTATGGAATGTTTCTGTTCATTATGATTTATTGAATAAACCACAGCAGTCTTTGTCTACAGAATAAACTAAGCCAAATCCAAACAAATGTGATCATACTAAACTGTAAGGTAGTTTCCTTGGGCTAATTCAAATTCTGTGTGGATTTGTTAATGGTTGAGTATAAACCCAGCCATTGTGGAAACTGCATTACAATGCCACATAAAAGACCTGTGGAAGAAATGTTTCCATCTAAAATAAGGATATTAACATTTGTGCAACCATTGTAAGTGTACAATGGGCTAATATTCATAAGTTGATACCTTTTTTTCAAAGGTGATCTATTAGTTTATTTCATAACAAATTATGAATTAAAAATGAGAATGTTTCCCTTCAGACTCTCCTTGGCAAGGAACAGAAAAATAAAAGATTTGTAGCTGTAGAATATAAAATAACTTCATGACAGTATACGCAACTGAAGCACTCAGGTGTGAAGACAAGCACATTCATCATCAGATTTAGACAATTTTTTTCTAAAGCATGTAGCATAAACCATATAATTTTTTTGTTCTTGCTAATGACAACCTGGAATATCCTACAGATAGGAAGCAGCTGTGCAGGTAAATTCATCTTCTGGTTTCTGAGTGGCACAGTAGGAACATAACTTACTAATGCAATCTTCATCACAAATAACCCATGCCTTAAAAATGTTCAATGTGAGTTAAGAGGTATTGGTATAATTTAATACTAGACAGCTATTGTGCATGTCAGTAATAAGAAATGTCTCAAGTTTTTTTCATTCATTAATAATGAAGTCCTACATGTACTCCATATACTGTAATTCAGTCTCATGAAATTCAGTAGCACTTACTGAATTTCATACAGATGAGTATGTATAAGATTACAATTTATCTATTCCTAGCTATTACAGCTATCATTTGAATATTTTGTTCAAATAAGAACAAAAGTTTTTCATCTTTCACTTAGAAATCTATTTCTCTTGTTTTCAATGGAAAATAAGCATAAGCTGCTCACCCCAGTGATATATAAGTCGAACAGGCCTAGAGCAGTGATGGCGAACCTTTTAGAGACTGAGTGCCCAAACTGCAACCCAAAACCCACTTATGCATTGTCGAGTGCTAGGTGGGTGTGGCCCATTGGGTGGGCGTGGCTGCGGTGGTAATGGCAGACTGGGTGGGACTAAAATGTTCAATCAATCAATTTCAACTTTGCAAGATCTTTTTTTTTCCCCGCAAGAAGTTGAAATTGACTGATTGAACCTTTTTTTTTTTTTTGCACACGGCGGCGGAGGCCTAAAGCGAAAAGGTTTTATAAAACCCAGCTGAAGGCCTAGGACTGGGGCGACGGCGCACGTGCCCACAGAGAGGGCTCTACGTGCCGCCTCTGGCACCCATGCCATAGGCTCGCCACCACTGGCCTAGAGTCTCAGATAAACTTACATGGCAAAAATGTACCACCAATAAGTACATTTTGACACCTGCTGGTGAACATTTTTTTCAGTTGTTTCTAATGGCTGTGCATTTATCCAAGCAGCGCCTCACTCTTTCTCATTGCTTGTCTGGTTTTGGGTTTGGGTTTTGCACATCAACTCTCAACCACATAATTATTTGTTGGACGGAACTAAGCACTCATTATTTTGTTAAACACACACAAAAAGCTATTCAGTTGTACTGTCCATAATCCATGTCAAACTATATACAGAATACATTAAAATGCAAATAAATGTGTAAACATACTGTTGTTTAATTTAGAACAGCTGAAAAAAATCATTATTAAACAATCTTCTTCCTTACCAAGAATCATGACCAGACTATGCAATATATCTAACTGCTTGAAGTTTGCCTTGAATTTTCCAGAAAAGAAGTGCAAATATTTGAGGTTTCCTAATGAGCCACTTATGTAATGACATGGTTTCTAGTCACAAATTGTTTAATCACAATATTGGGTTGATACAATATTCCAAACAAGTCACATCTTGGCATATCAAAGTTTGTCTTGGACCAGTGATCATGCAGAGAAACATACTTGATACACTGGGTTTTATTAAGTTGTTCTCAAGATTTCTGATCCTGTGGTAAGCATCTCCTTGTTCATCACGTCTGCTGGATAAGAGCTGGTACCTACTTCTAGATACTATGTGAATTGTATGGTGGATGCTCAACCAATCAGCAAAGAATGAACCATACTATGAAATGAATGCTTATCCAATGAGCTTCGAGCTGACACATCCTGCACTGCAAAGAAGATTAATCAGTGATGGAATTGTATCAGGAGTCAAATTGTAATTGGGCAGCTGACACCAAATATAATTAAGCCGTAAAATGCAGGTAAGATGCAAATACACAGATTAATTCAGAAATGGTGATGGGAAAACTGTGTGGGACATGTATATGACATATATGTAAAATGCAAAATTTGTACATACACACACTCATTTATATACAGAGGGAAAACTATGTACAGCTGCAATTTCATGAATAAGACACACATCTGGAGAGATTAAATATTACATTCTACTCCAAGGCCTTTTCACGTCACCTCTTTTCAGGAATCAGAACTGAATTATTTTCCCTCAAGACTGCAGCTTTGGGACTCTTAGCCCACATAGCACATTGTCCATGCCCCATTTGGGAAGGAACTGGCAGCCAACCACATCTTAGCCAGTCTTACCTCCATCAGCATAAGTCTCTGTGCCATATCCATCTTGCAGCCCGTTATTCCAGGTACCTTCGTACTTTGCTCCATTGCCGATATTCTGCCTTATGCCATATCTTCCCTTGAAACCATGGGTCCATTCACCTTTGTAAAGCCATCGTCCTTTGGTTTCAATCCCTAAGCCATGGCGCTTTCCTTGAGACCAGTAACCCTCATAGGTATTGCCACTGGGCCACGTGTATACCCCCACCACTTCAAATCCATAGTTCCAAGAGCCAGAGTATTCGCCCTGACCCTTGGGGCCAGTACAGATGCCATGCCCGTGGGCTTTGCCACCTTCCCAGCCCCCACAGTAGGCTCCTCCATCATCAAAATCAAATCTTCCACCACTCATGGTACACAACCAAAGTTAGACAGCCACTCTTCTCTTTTGTTCCTCTTTTCCTTCCTCTTCTTCTCTCTTGCCTATTTAGCCAGATTATGGCTCCATTATTGGAAGTACGAGAGCCTGATTCAACTGCTGCATAGCCAGTTCAGCTGAACCACTTTCCAAGAGCCCAAGAACAGGAAATTGCTGTGGGATAGAAGTCCCTGTTGACGGAGGCCAGGATCGGGCCAGGGAACTCAGAAAGTAGCCCTGCTTGGTTCTACAGAACCATTTACCCAAGAAGGCATGGAGAGGTTGATTAGAGATACAAACTACACCCTGGTCTTGGAAAGAATAGGATTGAAGTTCCCCCTCAGCTGTAACAGTTCTAGCCTTTACATCCTTGACCTCGGGCAAGAGTTGTAACTTTTTTTTCTCTCCACTACAATAGTTGTATTGGCTTTATATCATCCTTGCAGTCTCCTCAAAAATCCCCCCACGATCCATTTCCTTAAGGGTCCGTGCAGATCTGCAGGAGGGCTCTCTCTTTAATCTCCTTCCCGGACTGTACCTATCCCGACTGCTTGCTTCCTCGTTGCTTTTCCTCTTTCCCTTAGTTCCCAATGCCCGAAATCCCGGCCCCGGCCGATGCCAGCGTTTGTACTATCCCGTAGGGCAGGCTATCCACGGCTCCGGCTCTCCTCCAGAGTCTCTTCCTATTTTTCGCCTCCTCCTCTGCCAAGGAAAAGGTCAAAGCTGCCCTAACAAGGCCATCGCCTCCCTAGAGCTGCTCCTAAAATAGACCCCCTCGCCCAGCCCCCTTTCTAGGACCCTTTTACGGAGGAGAGAGGAACCACCCCTTCGGGGCCGGAATAAAAATGAATAATCTTCGAGGAGAAGGAGGCGAGGGACCGAGGAAGCAAGTGTGTACTTTAAAAATAGCAGCCTGGGAAGCTCTGGGAACGACGGAGCGGAGGATGGAGGGGGGGAGAGGTGGAGGGGGAGGCGAGGGTCGCGCTTCCCGCCCGCCTGTTTGCGCCGAAGTTTTCAGTAGGGCTGCGCTAGAAGCCGCTTCTCCTAGGCACGAGGGTGGGGACCAGGAGAGCATGAATGGAGCCATGAACCGAGAGGTTAGGAGGCAGGACTGGAAGGGGCGCAACCGGCGAATCCGGGGTTTTTGTGAATTTGGCTGAGCGCATTTTGATGGGCCGGGAAGGCAACGGGCTCTCTTCGGAAGGTTCGGTCAACGGTAGAGCCGTTCGGACCCAAGCTTTCTTCCAATATTTTTTTCCCTGGGGAAATTGGGACTATGCACTCGCTGTCTCCCCCGCTGGCCCTTAAGACAACCCTTCGGTTTCGCCACTGGAGGAAGTCGGTTTCCCTTTGCGAGCGCCGCCGCCGCAAGGCGTCCTTCCTCGCCGCTGACCTTCTCTGTGCCGCGGGGAGCCCGGCCAGGTGCAAATAGGCCAGTGGTTCTCAACCTTTTTAATTCCGCAACCCCAACCGGTCGTAAGTCGAGGACTAAACCGGTCGTAAGTCGAGGACTAAACCGGTCGTAAGTTGAGGACTTTCCCTGCCCGGGAGCGCCACGCATGCGTGGTTCCGCCCCCTGCGCCGGCCGAGGCGTAGCTGGCAAGCGGCAGAGACGGAGCAGGCCGACCACCAGCTGGCCCAGCCCAAGGGAGGTAAGGCACCTGCCAGAAAAGGGGAAAAATATGGCGGACAAAAAAAATGGCGACAAAAAAAATGGCGGACAGCCTTGCTTGGCAACCCCCATGAAATGGTCGATCGACCCCAAATGGGGTCCCGACCCACAGGTTGAGAACCACTGAAATAGGCAAATGGCTTTGAAAAGCCACAGCCAGACTTTTGCCTGCGGCCGCAGATTCCACTCACTGTAGCAACTGTACGTGACTAATTCGCCGTGCGGGCGTGAGCTTTTAATAAGCGTTGGTTACTCAGAAGATCTCAGAAAAAACACTCTTATGCTCCTCGCTCTTATGGAAGCTTTCTTTCTCTGCCGTTACAGCTGCAATCACAAGCATGCTTCATCAGTATCCGAGTGTTGAACTGGGATTGGGGGGGAAACCTAATTCTTTGCTTAATGATAAGGCTCAGGGGTGACTTTGGGCCAATTTCTCCCAGTCCAATCCATCTTGCAAAAGAGTTGCTGTACATTTCCTTGAAGAGTGACTACAAAGAGCAGTGTTTTTCAGTCTTGGATACTTTTTAAGATGTGGGAGGCTTCAACTCCCAAAATTCCCCAGGCAATTGAAGTCCACAGAAGTTCTCCAGTTTGAGAAACACTGATGTAAACACAGCAACTACAAAGTGACTGAATCGGAGTTCACATAACACAACACATTATGATCAAGAGATGATAATGACAATTCAGCCTTTTTACTTTGGGGTTAAAATGATCTTTTTTTTAATCTTAAATAACTGAGACTGGCCAATACATTGGGTCTAGAAATGACCTAGTTAAGTTTGTTGTGTGAACATCCACCAGAAAGCTTTGGGCAGCAATCATTTTTCTCCTCAACAAAGATTTTGTTCAGTAAAAAGACATGGTTTTCCCATTTGAATAGGAGGAATTAAACTTAACTTACATGATTGTAGGTGAAATAAAGTACACAAATACTCCAATTGTAATTCTTTAAAAAAGTCAAAACAATTACAAACAACAAAATTGTAAAAAACAAAATTCTCCAGAAAGTTTTAAAAAAACAATTATGACAAGAATACCAAACCTTTTGGAACAGAGGGCACATCTGCATTTTAAAAGCATCAAAATTGTAATCACAAAATGAATGTTAGAAAATTTCTAGTGGATGCAGCCAGTCTAAAAATACAGTATTTCACAGTAAGGCAAATGTGTAACACTAAAAGACAATAATTTGTCCAATATCATATATGGGAGAAGCAAGTCTGAGTTCCCAAACACAAACTCACTATTTTTAATTCATAATTGTCTTCCTCTAAGTTTAGTATTTTACCCATGACACACATTGACAATTTGGAATATAGAGCAATTTCAGCCTTCACTTAGAAATATTTCAAGTGGAAAGTTGGCCAAAGCTGATATTTGATCAATTTATATCAGGCATGTCAAACTGCCGGCCTGGGGGGTCGGATGCATCACGTGACTTCGCGAGTTTGACATGCCTGATTTATATTGAGGGGTTTCATTAAGCACCAATACACATTTGCCATATTTGCCCTTTGTTAGTTATATTTCTGAGTTTTAATTGTAAAGCTAACCTCATAAACCTTCACTAGCAAGCATATTTTTATAATTGAAGAATCCAAATGAGAAACTTCTATTTCTGTTACAAAATTTTAGTAGAAAATTTGTTAAAGAAAACTAATTGGTAACCTTAATTTAATAACTAAAAGATTTCTTTCTTCACTTAAAAAAGCAAATCATTTTTAGCCAAATTCTATAATACTCAACCCAGAGAACTCCCTCTGTATTATGCAAGCTGAAATCATGCTTATTTCCTGAGAATGTACAGGAAACAGGTGGTCTTATACAAGAGCAGAGGAAAAAGTGGAGATGTTACTTCTGACACGTTATACAGCCACTTCAACAGTTATTGCCAAGAATTCATTAGTTTCAAAACTGTAATTGCTTGCACAGTGCAAAGTACACAATACAGAAAATGCTCAAAGCACTTCATATACTATATTTGCAATGAACTGCCATCCACAAATCTGATATTTGTCTGGGTTGTGAAAGAAAATCATTTCAAGCACCTCCAAGTCACCTATTGTCTGTGATTTGCAATTGTTTTTTTACAACCCTAACTAGAGTGTGGAAGCCGCACAGAAAAGCAGCTCAATAATGTTCATATAACAGAGAAGCAATAAACCTTGACTGACTCCGGGCAATTGCAAATAAATGCTTATCTCAAGAGTAGCATCTTCCTAGGGAGCTATTAGATCAGGGGTCTTCAAACTTGGCCCTTTTATGACTTGTGGACTTCAACTCCCAGAATTCCTCAGCCAGGCACGCTGGCTGAGGAATTCTGGGAGTTGACGTCCACAAGTCATAAAAGGGCCAAGTTTGAAGACCCCTGTATTAGATCCTTGCTTAGCAGTATAAAACATAGGAAGTTCTGGGCCAGAAAACAAGAGACCTCAGAACAAAGTAATGGCTGCCTTCCCCATGATTTACAATTCCTTGAATCTCTAGTTAGTATTCTGACTGTAAATTCTGTGGATTTTATTCCCATAACAGCTGGACAACACTAAACTGAATTATGAGAAAACACCATGTAAACATTAGCCATTGCCACATTAGATGTAAGAAATTGGATAGGTTACAGGTAGTTCTCAACTTACAACTGTTTGTTTAGTGACTGATTGAAGTTACAACAGCACTGGAAAAAGTGACGTTTTTCACATGGCTATTGCATCCCCATGGCCATATGGTCAAAATTTGGACGCTTGGCAACTGGTTCATATTTATGGGAGTTGCAGTGTCCCCATGGTCACATGATCAAAATTTGGACTCTTGGCAACTGCCAGTTGCATGCGACCATCATTTGTGAACTTCTGACAAGCAAAGTCAATGAGGAAGCCAGATTCACTTAACAACCGTGCTACTAAGTTAACAACTGCTGTGATTCACTTAACAAATGTGGCAAGAAGGTCGTAAAACTGCTGTGATTCACTTAACAAATATCTCACTTAGCAACACAAATTTTGGACTGATTGTGATCATAAATCGAGGACTACCTGTACTTATGTGACATAAAGCTTTTAAGGTTGGCTTCCACTAAGATGGTTATATCAAGGGAGAACTGGATTCTTTCACCTTTGAATGAATTTCTGGTTTTAAGTTAGAGACATATTTGTGAATTGAAGTAGGTTAACAAGTAAACCAAGACTCCATGCACATGACTTTGCCTTGAAAGTAGTTAAGTTTGCCAAAACAGACTGGCTTCTTTCACACAGAATCCATATAGCTTAAACATATTGTCCCTAGCACATTGTCACAGAAATAAGTGTAGAAAATGACTTTAGAGCTGCATTTGAGATATACATTGCAAGTAGATTGAACAGAATAGTCTCTGTGTAAGTATGAAATCTAGTAAAAAAAAGGGTGCTACTTTGATATGGAGCAAAGCTGACATCTAATGGCCACATATGTGATTGAATATTAATATCTACCATTATTCATTAACCACAAAATCCAAATATTGATGCTTTGGAAGGGTTCCCTTTAAAAACATGGTGTTTTAGGTTGTATTGAAAGGAATACAGAGATGGAAAACATCACTGACTCCTACAATTACAGATAATGTATTCAATTCAACAGATTTCAGGAAAAGACTTCTGCATTAATCACAAAGGTCAAATTGAAATAAATACTATGCTTTTTATAATTTAAAATGTGTGCTTGCACACACAATATATATATATATATATATATATATATATATATATATATATATACACACACACACACACACACACACACACACACACACATATACAGTCAATAGAACATAAACAATAGGCAGTACTTAGCATCAGATGTGGAAAGTGCTTGAATTCGCTCTAGATTATTTTACAATTCACTGTCTATAAAAATATTAGCCAGTTAATCCAAACTACCAATTGTGGCTATGGCCTACAAAAATGGTGTTATTTCCTGGGCTTGCTATTTGCTATCCTCTGATTTAGAATTTACTTCAGTTGCTGATCTATTAAAAACGAGAAGTCTGCCTGAAATGCAAAGTGGTTTTATTACAAGCACAGAGAGCAAGCTGCTTCTGAGATGGAGCATGATTCAAGGCAGATATCAAAGCCCTTTGTCGGCTAGGGTCAGGTATACATCATTTCCGCCATGTGCGACATTTCCTTAGGGATATGCAGGAAGTATTCCATGTAACCTGAAAGGTCTTCAATAGTCACATCATCTACATGAGCTCTGGCTTGTTCAGAGCAAGATTTGAGAGAACTGGAGGAAATTCTTGATGTGAGCTGTGAACTGTCTTGCACATGTGCTGCTCTTTCAGACACACCCTGGAGGGAGTTCTGTATGTCAGAAAACATGTACACATTCAGGTTTTGCCATTGCTTACACTGGCATTCATTCTTTACACATGCACAAAAATTCCCTTTATTTTGTTCAGACACAGACTGGAAATCAGAAAGATCTGAGACCTTTAGAATTTCTGTGGGAAGAACGCTACCAATATTTTCAGAAATATTCTTTGGTATTCCAATCATGGATGCCTCGGAATCTTTGACATCTGATTCCTTCTTGCCAAATTCTAGAGGATGACTGCCCAGTTCATTTTCAGAAAATTTCTTCGGCACATCCAAATCTTTGTTGCTTTGAAAAGCATCTGTTAGGTTCTTGTGGATGGGTTGGCTACAGGAAGGCATTTGTTTAGTGCAATGGATGAATTTAGGAGGATGGAGTACTGGAGACTTTGATCGCCGGTGACGTTGGGTTCGAATTGTTCCTCTCAAAGGTTTTTTCAAACACCTGCAGTATGAAAATGGAAAGAAATAAGTAATTCATTTTGCACAAAAGATACCTAGCCATTTACAAGTGCGTAAAATGTGTCATCAAAGTTCCAACCTTGAAAGTCCTTCTAAAGAGCTCAGAAAGGCCTTTTATAACCTATTTCAAATTCCAGAAGTGGCCCAATCTATAAAAGGATCTCAAATTACTTCAGGGCACATTCTATGACTCTCTCTGCAATCCACAGGGAAAAATATATTATTTAAAAAAAATGTGTTATATTCTCAGATATTGGACAGAAATATTTTTTCTTGCAACTGACAAGAATAAAATATTGAACAATTACTACGATATCAGATGATTAGCTGTTTTATATAACAAAAACAGTATAAAAACCAAAAATAATTCATTTTAATAATCACACTGCAATGCTTCCATACTGCCTAGTCAAAAATACCTATTAGTATAAAAATGTATCGCACAAAACATTTTGATTATCTTTATAGTGCTTAAAATATTTTTCACAAGGTCTAAAATATGTGCTTAATTTAAAATAACGTTTTTAGCATAAAAATATAGGTGGAATTTTTAAGAAAGCTAGGAATGTAATGTGCTTATCTTTTGAGAGAACCACTATCTAAATGGTAAGGATAATACAGAAAATCCTCTTGAAACAAGAAGCTTGTTTCTTGAAACAAGAAACATGAACAAAGTCATGAGGAAGGTGAAAAACGCACACTATAAATATACCAGATTTGCATCTCTTCACTGACTGATATTTATACAGTCTGGAGCTATACTTGATTTCTAAAAAAATGTCTCCACAAAAGTAAGGGATTCAGATCACATAGGATATGCCTTTATAAATGCTGATCACCATAACATTTTACTGGTTTGTGGGCACTGCTTTGGGCTCTTTTAGGAGCAACTGTGTTAAAATTAATAAAAAAAATAGAAGCTGGGTGGCATTATCCCAATGCCATACCATTTAATCTTAATATCTCAGAAAGTTTTTTTATCATAGAAAAACTAGAACATTCATTTATACACAACTCATAGTCTAAATTCAACACATGGATGAAAAACTGTCCATATTATGAAATACTATCCAACGGCAATATTTCCTAGATATCAACTAAAAGATCCTCTGGCTACAATGTAGAGTATCCTCCATCACCTCTTTTTATTTGAACAGCTGTTGCTTTTTCTAATTTAAATTGCTATTTAATTGGTTGCTTAATTTTCATTGCTATTATTTTTATTGTAAAGCACTCTGGTTTATTTTGAAGAGGATATGCACATCAGTTTCATTATGTGCCATCAAGCCAGTGTTGATCCTTAGCAGCCATATTTTCTCCATGAACATCAGGCTCAAGACATTATTGCACTAGGGTCAAGATATTATTGCACTGATTTTAATACGAATCAAATCTGGCTAACTTTGAATATATCCAACTTTTAAAATTATATATCTGGAAATAAACTTTAATTATAACAAACCTAGTTAAATAACTTGTATAGAAATATCTGGCCCTAACCTTCCATTTCTAGGATTTGAATTCATGACATGGTCCTATAGCTTCCTTCCCGATGCATCCAAAGTAGTAGTCTAACATAAGAAAATACGATTCAATTTTGTAAGAGAAAGATTCTATTTACAGCAATTTCTCTTCCTTTTGCCACATCTGGAAAGCAAAGAACTGACAACCTGTTATGCCATGCAGAACAACTGCATATAACTCAATTGCAACATTCATAAAAACATAGTAATGCTACTAAATCAAACTCTCGCATCTTTCATCACCTTCATTTATGTTTTTTTTCCAATTGATCATTCTAAGAAGTTACGTGGGCCAGTATATTTAACAAAACACTTCAGCATTTCTTCATCCTAAGTATTAATCAGAATCAATTCCTCTTACCAGTGCCAACTTTCTTTAGATCCTAATGTCATCTTCACTTTGGATTCATCTGTATTTTCTACAAATGTTTGTGGAGATGCCCCCTCACTCACAGGGAGAGAAGCAGTGGATCTGAAGCATGAAAAAAATATGTCAAAATAAGTTTAGAATGTATAATCTAGATTCAATCAATTTGCTTTGCATAATTCACAATAATATTGTCATTGCAAATATACAATATTTACAACCAGCTTTCTCACAAGTGTTCTTTGTATCAACAGCATACTGGAAAAATGATATTAGGGATTAGCTACCTATTTTATACAGAAAATAATATAGTACAGTTGTCATGGTTCCGACAGATAAAACTCTTCAAAAGAACTTCAAGGCATTGTTTATCTTAAAGAATCTTTTATTCGAGAAATAAATTATCAGCACTACATAGTCGAAACCAAAAACTAAATTCCCCTCCCCTGGATACAAAGTAATAAAGCACAATTCCCTCCTCCAATAAACAGTCATAAATCCGCCAAAACTCTATCAGCTCGGGCCCAATGACCTTGGGTTCCCACGGCTGAGTTATTATTGTTATGACTAGCTGGACTCTCATCCACATTCCCCCTCCAGCATCAACTAACTCTAAAAGCAATAGAGAAAAATGGCTGCATTTCCATCTGTTGTCAAAGCAAGAACATCCGATGTTAGCAGCGTTGACAACAGTTGCATTTATTTTAGAAAATATATATGCTGCCTTTCATACATATGAGCTTTGGAAAGTTAACAATAATAGCAATAGCACTTAGACTTATATACTGCTTCACGGTGCTTTACAGCCCTCTCTAAGCATATTGCCCCCAACAATCTGGGTCCTCATTTTACCAACCTCGAAAGGATGGAAGGTGAGTCAACCTTGAGCCGGTGAAAATTGAACCCCTGGCATTGAATTAGTCCACAATACTGCATTCTAACCACTGCACCACCTTGGTTCAATCAACTTGTACTAATATTAAACTAGTAATAAACATAATAAAATCTTTATAAATCATGCAAAAATCCCCAAAGAGAATTAAAATAACTGTAATACAATAACCAAGAAATCAAACTGCACATATATTGGACTCATCTAACATCCTGGCCCAGCAGCTGGGGAAAATCAAGATCTTCAGACTTTCAAAAGGCCAAGTGGGTTGAAACCTTTCGTATTTTGGGGATGGGGGGAGGCTGTTTCATAGGGTAGCCGAAAAGAAGGCATGACTCCACATATTAGAGCATCCACCCTGTTAGATCTGATGGGATAAACAGTACTACCAGTAACTGGCCCTAGACCACAAAAGACTTTAAAGCCAGCACTTTGAATTACACCTGAAAATATACAGAGAGATACTGCAATTCACATAACAGCAGTGTTACACTGCATTTAAAAATGACCTAGTAATATTACTGAGTATTTCCCTTTTAGCTTCCCAATTTGCACCATCTACTTATGAAAAGAAAAAAGGTAATGGATGAAGAAACAGGTGTCCCTCACCTTGGGGGCTTATTTGGCATTTTATAAAAAGGATTGTGGGGGAAAAAAACCCAATAAAATAGCTGTTTTAGGGAGAGGGCCAGAGAAGCCAGGCACAAACATTGTAATGACACCACTGTTCACTTTATTTATTTTTATTTGTGTATTCATTTTATTCCACCTGGCTCCAACAGACTCTAGCTCACCACATACAAATGTTGTTGTTTACAAATATACCATAGAAAAGCGTATCACAAATGGCAGATCTAGACAACAAAAGCAAACATATTATGTAATATAATTATATTATATTCGGTTCCAACTACCTTAGCTCAAAGCCTGGGAGAACAACCAAGTCTTAAGGCCTCTGGAATGCCATCAGGAGGTTAGCCACTCGGGAGGGGGATTCAAGAGGACAGACATAGAAAAGGCATCTTTCAAACCCCCTGATAGATAGAACTGGTTAACTGGAAGGAACCTAGAGCATGCCAATACTGTTGGAGTGAACTGGCTGGACCAATAGCACAGGAAATAGGCAGTTTCTCAAATACAAGGAAAAAGAAAACAGCCCCATTTTGATGAACACTGAGTTGGAGGGTGGATGAATATTCATATGAAAAAGCCACTACATAAAGTATTTTATACCTTTAAAGAAAGCATAGATCAGAATTTACTAAGTGTTCTAAACCCACAAAAAGGGTATTGTACTTGGAAGCAGAACAGAAATGGTATAGTTTTGAGTAGTAGATATAGAGAACAAGATCATATATATTTCACTTCTCAGGATGAAGGTAACAGGTGACAGATCTGATCCGTCTTTTATATTTTATACTGCAAAGATACTCAGGTCTTCCTGATTAATTACATTGTTACTTACCGTTCTGAATCAACTCTTAACTTTTTGAAAGCTGCCTGGAGATTTTCCTCATTCTCCAACATTGTTAGAGAACAATCCACTGCACTCTCTCCCCTTTGCAGATAAATAAAAAAATGAACTGGGATGAAATTCCAGGCATCTAATGTAAAAATAAATTTGACTAACTGTAGATTAGTGCCTCAATACTTTTTACAGGTAGTCCTCAACAACTGAAATCAGAATCTTGGTTGCAGAGCGAAATAAGTCATTAGGCAAAATGTCACATGACCACTTCACTCAATGACCACAATCCCAGCTGCAGTTGTTAAGTGATCTTGAAGGTTGTTAAGTGAATGGAGTCCCTGATAAAGAGCACAGGGATGCCTCGGGGTTGAGGGAGGCCTCGGGAGCCCAGCACAGGCCACATGCAAAATGGTGTGTGTGTGTGCTGCAGTCTCTCTCTCTCTCTCTCTCTCTCTCTCTCTCTCTCTCTCTCTCTCTCTCTCTCTCTCTCTCTCTCTCTCTCTCTCTCTCTCAAGAGAGAGAGAGAGAGAGAGAGAGAGAGAGAGAGAGAGAGAGAGAGATATTTTGAACAGAATGTTGTAGTGTTAAATTATTTCAGTTTTCTCCAAGCTGGCACTTTCCAGATGTGCTAGGACTATGTTCCATTTCCTACTCAAGGTTAGGAAAGCCTTTAAATGAATTAGATTTCTTAGACCAGTGATGGTGAACCTTTTAGAGACTGAGTGCCCAAACTGCAATCCAAAACCCACTTATGCAACGTCAAGTGCCGGGTGGGTGTGGCCCATTGGCTGGGTGTGGCCCATTGGCTGGGTGTGGCCAATTGGGTGGGCGTGGCCACGGTGGTAACGGCAGACTGGGTAGGACTAAAAAGTTCAATCAATCAATTTCAACTTTGCAAGATCTTTTTTTTTCCTGCGAGAAGTTGAAATTGACTGAGTGAACCTTTTTTTTTTTGCACACGGCGGTGGAGGCCTAAAGTGAAAAGGTTTTATAAAACCCAGCTGAAGGCCTAGGACTAGGGCAACGGCGCGCATGCCCACAGAGAGGGCTCTGAGTGATGCCTCTGGCACCCGGGCCATAGGTTCGCCACCACGGTCTTAGACTTTGCATTCGAAACTTGCCAAGTCTTCTTTAGTCACTCTGTGAGATGGAGGTTTCAAAATTTATTATACGGACAGTATATACATACATAAACACATACATAAAGCATACCAAGTAAATGCTTCCTATCTGAGAGTTAACCATGTTTACATCCAAACCAGTATCTAGAGTACTGTGTGTGTACCTGTATATGGCATATATCTCCTAGTTGATGAAATGTGGGCAATAGTATATGATCTTGTAAGGTAATCTTTAGATTAAAAATCCTTGTTTGCACAGAATAGCATAAGTGTGCATGGGGTACAACTGGCCTTTGGTTACACTTGCAGTTTATTGGCCAAAATATTCCAAAATTGACTGATACAGTACTGTCCTGTTAGCAAAGGCTGCAGGAGACAGATAAGCTAGTCTCCATCTTTTCTTACTAAAAGAATTATGCAAAAGCCTCAACTGATCAAAGATATATGGCAGAAGTCAATATCTAGGGACCCATTAGATAATGTCCACTATTTAATATAGAATACAGGTAATCCTCAGCTTATATCCATTAATTCAGCAACCGTTCAAAATTTATGGTGGTGCTGAAAAAATAAGACGTAGGACGAAATTTGAAATATCGCAGCCTCCTCACAGATAGTGATCATGATTCCTGGCGCTCAAGTGCTTGGCTGTGATTCTGATGTTGCAGGGAGCTGCGGTCATCTTATCACCATTGGCAACTTTCCCTGCCAGCTTCCTATAGGAAACATCAATGGGGAAGCCGGCAGGGAAAGTTGCAAGTCACTCTAGTAAGTTGCTCCCACGTTTCTCCTCCCTTCAGGACCCCTCTGCCCATGTCAGGCTTCCACCGACCCCTCCCAGACTCTTCCCCTGGTCTCCCTCAAATCACATGCATCCTGTAATGGCCCTCCAAGGACCTCCCAAGCCTCTGAGACTCCCCCACAGCTCCCCCACATCCCTAGCCTGGAACTGCCACCTCTTCCCACTTAACAACCAATGCTTCTTAGGGTTACTATGGCAACCAAGTTTACATCACCAAGAAATGCAGTTAAGTGACCTTGGGCTTTACGACCACATCACTTAGCGATGGCAATCCTAGTCCCAATACCATAATAACCGAAGGACTGCCTGTATATACAAGACCTCCAGAAAACATTTTAAGTATTTAAGTTTACAAAGTTAATTTTTTAAACAATAAAAGTTAAAGTATTAAGTCTTTATAACCCTTAAATTGGCACAAAAGAAGAAACCTGCCAGAAAAAGGCTCACTTGGACACAACTCCCTCCCTGCTCCACTCAGTTGATGTTCATTTGCTCAAATTGTTTAACTGACACATTTCCTAGTTGCCTATTTGATGTCATTGTGACTCATCTAGGATGGGTGTGTCATAATGTATTTGAAGTACATACTAACTCTTGAATCAGAGAACAAAGAAAGCACAAAAGGAAGTGATACACCAAGACTGCTTCCTGGGATGTTCACCTGCCAAATGGATAATTAACAGAAGCTACATTAAACAACCTGTTTTTTCAACAAAAAAAAACTTAACTGAATGTTGGACCCAGAATTCTGAAAACAAGACAAGTTCTTAGAGTTTAATTTTTATACTGCATACATAAAAACCTGCTACATATACTTGCGCAAATCCCAGAACGCTCATATTATTTTAAAACTGAATTATTTAATAGTGCTTATGTAACCTGGCTGTTAATCTCACTGTGAGTAGTTCAGTCTCTTGAATTTCTCCTGGTTCAATTCCCATTAGTTGAGTAGTGGGTCAGAATACAACTGCAGCATACAGCCTGGTTAAAGGCAACTTATTTGGTTGTGAGGAANTGTAACCTGAAAGGTCTTCAATAGTCACATCATCTACATGAGCTCTGGCTTGTTCAGAGCAAGATTTGAGAGAACTGGAGGAAATTCTTGATGTGAGCTGTGAACTGTCTTGCACATGTGCTGCTCTTTCAGACACACCCTGGAGGGAGTTCTGTATGTCAGAAAACATGTACACATTCAGGTTTTGCCATTGCTTACATTGGCATTCATTCTTTACACATGCACAAAAATTCCCTTTATTTTGTTCAGACACAGACTGGAAATCAGAAAGATCTGAGACCTTTAGAATTTCTGTGGGAAGAACACTACCAATATTTTCAGAAATATTCTTTGGTATTCCAATCATGGATGCCTCGGAATCTTTGACATCTGATTCCTTCTTGCCAAATTCTAGAGGATGACTGCCCAGTTCATTTTCAGAAAATTTCTTCAGCACATCCAAATCTTTGTTGCTTTGAAAAGCATCTGTTAGGTTCTTGTGGATGGGTTGGCTACAGGAAGGCATTTGTTTAGTGCAATGGATGAATTTAGGAGGATGGAGTACTGGAGACTTTGATTGCCGGTGACGTTGGGTTCGAATTGTTCCTCTCAAAGGTTTTTTCAAACACCTGCAGGATGAAAATGGAAAGAAATAAGTAATTCACTTTGCACGAAAGATACCTAGCCATTTACAAGTGCGCAAAATGTGTCATCAAAGTTCCAACCTTGAAAGTCCTTCTAAAGAGCTCAGAAAGGCTTTTTATAACCTATTTCAAATTCCAGAAGTGGCCCAATCTATAAAAGGATCTAAAATTACTTCAGGGCACATTCTATGACTCTCTCTACAATCCACAGGGAAAAATATATTATTTAAAAAAAATGTGTTATATTCTCAGATATTGGACAGAAATATTTTTTCTTGCAACTGACAAGAATAAAATATTGAACAATTACTACGATATCAGATGATTAGCTGTTTTATATAACAAAAACAGTATAAAAACCGAAAATAATTCATTTTAATAATCACACTGCAATGCTTCCATACTGCCTAGTCAAAAATACCCATTAGTATAAAAATGTATCGCACAAAACATTTTGATTATCTTTATAGTGCTTAAAATATTTTTCACAAGGTCTAAAATATGTGCTTAATTTAAAATAACATTTTTAGCACAAAAATATAGGTAGAATTTTTAAGAAAGCTAGGAATGTAATGTGTTTATCTTTTGAGAGAACCACTATCTAAATGGTAAGGATAATACAGAAAATCCTCTTGAAACAAGAAGCTTGTTTCTTGAAACAAGAAACATGAACAAAGTCATGAGGAAGGTGAAAAACGCACACTATAAATATACCAGATTTGCATCTCTTCACTGACTGATATTTATACAGTCTGGAGCTATACTTGATTTCTAAAAAAATGTCTCCACAAAAGTAAGGGATTCAGATCACATAGGATATGCCTTTATAAATGCTGATCACCATAACATTTTACTGGTTTGTGGGCACTGCTTTGGGCTCTTTTAGGAGCAACTGTGTTAAAATTAATAAAAAAATAGAAGCTGGGTGGCATTATCCCAATGCCATACCATTTAATCTTAATATCTCAGAAAGTTTTTTTATCATAGAAAAACTAGAACATTCATTTATACACAATTCATAGTCTAAATTCAACACATGGATGAAAAACTGTCCATATTATGAAAGACTATCCAACGGCAATATTTCCTAGATGTCAACTAAAAGATCCTCTGGCTACAATGTAGAGTATCCTCCATCACCTCTTTTTATTTGAACAGCTGTTGCTTTTTCTAATTTAAATTGCTATTTAATTGGTTGCTTAATTTTCATTGCTATTATTTTTATTGTAAAGTACTCTGGTTTATTTTGAAGAGGATATGCACACCAGTTTCATTATGTGCCATCAAGCCAGTGTCGATCCTTAGCAGCCACATTTTCTCCATGAACATCAGGCTCAAGACATTATTGCATTGGGTCAAGATATTATTGCACTGATTTTAATACGAATCAAATCTGGCTAACTTTGAGTATATCCAACTTTTTAAATTATATATCTGGAAATAAACTTGAATTATAACAAACCTAGTTAAATGCCTGGAGGCCGTAAGGGTCTGGATGGGGAGG